ATCCATTACATTATGTGACAACAATATCATTGCATATTTGGATGTCTATCATTGCCATATCATGATCAGAAGCAATATGTTTTTGTGTAATTATTAATACCTGTGCTTTTCCTTTTATTCGAAAACTAAATCATGTAGTTTAAAACTATGTTAAAAATCATCTTTTGACTGATTTACATTCTGGTATATGTATGTTTGTTATTATATATATGCCATTTTTGACGAGTCATGACAATGCAAGACCGCATATATAGAATAGATGGAAAATTAAACCACCATATGTTCATAAGTATGGTTGCTGATTTTCGCCATTCGTGTTTTCGACCTGCGACACCTCCAAGCCAAAAGTCGAGAATTGACAAGATGAAATGGCGGGGGCGCAGAGGGAAAACATATTATTTAGCAGGGGCGCGGCGATATGTTTAATAGATAAAACGTCGCCCTGCAGGGGGCGCAGAAGGATATTTCAGAAATGGAATGGCGGGGGACGGCGTATTAAGTTTTAATTAAGTTTTATTAAACGTTGCCCCACGCCCCCGCTAAATAGCGTGTTTTCGCTCAGCACCCCTGCTGTGGGTCGAAAACACGAATGGCACAAAATAGCCACCATACATAAGGCTGTACATTCACATGTCACATAATTTTACTATAGTAAGTTAATCTTAACACAATGAAGATCATTTGGCGACAAAGTATGCTTCGTCAATTAATAATGTCTTGCTTTTTTAAAAGATTTCTTTTCTGAAATGAAATCTGATGAATTGTTCATCACTCAACAGGCTTCTTTTTAAATGAAAATAAAGTCCATACATTCTTTAATAATAATAGATGATAAAAAAGATATTTCATTCTTACTTTAGAAAACACCAGTTGCTGGAGCAGATACCAATAGTGATTTAGGACGGTTTTATCGTGAATGTCAGAGTACACCGGCATTGACAACTTGTGACGAGGAGCATTTGGTACCGGAAGCTTTGAAGCAGTTAACAAACCAGCTAGAATCATTTGAGACTCATATGAAAGACTTTGATAACTTTGTGTCAGAACTGAATATTGACAATGAATCTATGGGTTTTTGAAGCTAAAGCTGTTTTTGAAACGTAAAACTGTGAAAGATATGGGTTTACTTGTTTGTAATACAGGGTTGCTTTCTCTTACATTTCATTCTTATAGTGTTTTTTTGTCATTTTCTGGAAGAGAAAGGAGATGAATAAGCAAAATAACAACAAAAAGAACAGTATTGTTTTGTAATAAATCACTTTGGGTAGTTATTTTGCAAACAAAGTTGTTCATAAATAAGTTTATTATTATATTTGTGAAATTAATAAATAAAGTCGGAAAATTTTAAGTCACTTTAACCAAATTTAACTCTCCAAATTAAGTACCCGTATATGTACTTTGAAAATTACTTCATATCCACAGTAAGGATAAGTTAATAGAAAAGTTTGTGTAAGGAAAGACAACTCTGTAAGGTTGTGTTTAATTTATTCAACATGGGTGAATATGTGCTGCATTTGAAAGGGATTGAACACATTTTGGTGTTGTGCACTTCTGTATTAAAAGAATATTGATTCCATTTTGTTCCTTTAGAGCTGTTATGTTGAAATGTTTCAAAATAAAAAGGGACACATGTTATATGTATTATGTTATCAAGTTTTTGACTCATAACTTACATTATGTAACAATTGTATTTTTCAATTTGTTTTGTATGAAAGAAAAGGTTTTTTTCATATTCTGTAATTCTGTTCATTAAGTGATAAAGAAAAGTTTATTACGATATCTTAATTATTTGGGTTTTGAATGCCATAACAACTTTTATCGCAGTTAAAATGTTGTGTTTGACTCTTTACTTATTGAAGCCTAGTTTTAAGATACAGTGTATATAAAATTGGAGAGCTTTATTAATTTTGGAAAATTGATGTTATTAGATGTATTATTTCATGAACCGATATAATGCAAATCTGATAAAAACAAAACAAACACATTCTGTAGATATCCTCTATTGATTATCCAGTCAGATTACAGATTATACTTTCATGTGTTACGGATGTTATATATTTTGGTTAGAAAAAAATAGTTTCACCTCGGCAACATTTTTAGTAATATTCATAACAGCACATGTTTTATGATAAAGATCGCTGGTTCGGTCTCTCTTAAACTTTTCATATACGAGTTAAGTTAATTTATGTGGCTAAGTTGACAGTTTTAGGAGAATCAATGTATTCTGTTTACTGAAAGATACCGTTAATAAGTGGATATTTGTTTGTTTTTGTTGTAGCTGTGATTAAAAGAGGGAGTACTACACTATCATGTAGAATTTATATGACATGAAAAAAAAGTAAGGCATCATTTAGATTTGCTTGATTATGTCTTCCGTTTGAAAATGTTGAACTGAAGAAAGCTATTTAAGTAGAAATGTGCATGTTACAATGTAATTATTTGCTTGTAATATTTGTAAAATAAGTGCATTAGAAATTATGAATGTGCTGTACACATATTGGTATAAAACTGGTATAAAACTGCATGTTCATGTATTTAATGAATTGCTGGATTTTCTTCGTGTAAAGAAATTCTCTCTGTTTCTTCATTTACGATAGCACATATTTGTTGAAGTAAAATATTTTTCATGTGTTAAAATTTGGGATGTAGGTTCAAAGAATTTCAGTCAAAGAGGGGGCTAACAGATAGCGAATGTCGAGATAAGTGGTTCTAGATATTAAACACATTTTATGCTTAAAAGTGAACATCTTCAAAATACTGATAGTTAAAGGATTAAAGGTTTAAGGTTGTCATGTGGCACTTGTGATTATAATTCAAAGTAAAAATTTTAATAAGACGTAATAAATAATAAAGATATGCAAATCATCTGTCTGGCTGTTTTCGTACAAGTGATTGTTCATTTATCAGATTTTTCGTGACACTTCATGATTTATTAATAAAGGCTTCCATTTTAAAATGAATTATTTAATTAATTTAATTAAATTATTGTTCTTTTGTGTGCATTATTTTGATTCTGATCGACTTGTCAAGCTATTTTTTGGTCAGTAACATTTCTCTATGTTACTCATCTTTTATTGGTTTATCTAAATAAGTTTATTTAGGAAACTTAACAACCTATCACTTCGTATACACTTTGTTTTATCTTTTTTACTTTGTTTTATCAGTATATTGTCTATAATCTCAAAAGTCATTATGTAGAGTTTAAAATATGTTGAATGATAATTTTTGTGAAAGTAAGCCTTGCATATATCTTATCGAAAGCTACATTCATTAACTTTGCATGATTCTTGTGAGCTGTTGTATGTGATAAAGTCTCATGTTTATTCTCTTAAATAAATTACATGAAACTTGCATAACAGTCTTGTGATATGTGTAATTCCTTTGTTTTAAATTTGGAAAACGTCGAGTGACCAGTGATTTGAAGCTGCTGACAATAGTGACTTTTTAAAATGGCAAACACAGAAGAGAAAATTTTCAGATTAATGTTAAACTTTTAAAGAATGAAATTTTTAGTTGTTTATTTGCATGAGTAAATGATTCCAGTTTCATATCGAATACCAATTGACTTAAAAGCTCTGCTTACATGTATTAAAAGTTGATACAAATATTGCAAGTTGATACAAATATTGCTTATTTAATTCATGTTAATACTTAGTAATTAGCTACACGGTATTTTAGTGATATGGATCGTTTTATACCTTTGACAATAGCATACTGGCAATTCATCAAGGGAACATTTTTCTCTAAACCTGAAACCGTCCCTATCTAGTTGTTTTGTCTGCTCTCTATACTCTCATTGGGCTTGACATGTTGCCCCGGCTTATACTTGTTCTTGTTTTTTTAAGATTTGAAATATTTAAAAAAGAAATTGAAAAAATAAACACATAGAACATGTTCAAAAGTATCCATTACATTATGTAACAACAATATCATTGCATATTTGGATGTCTATCATTGCCATATCATGATCCGAAGCAATATGTTATTTGTAATTATTAATACCTGTGTTTTTCCTTTTATTCGAAAAAAAAATCATGTAGTTTAAAACAATGTTAAAACTCACCTTTTGACTGATTTTAATCCTGGTATATGTATGTTTGTTATTATATATATGCCATTTTTGACGCAGATATGCCAATATGAGACTGCATATATAAAAAGATGGAAAAAATGAACCACCATATGTTCATAAGTATGGTTGCTGATTTTCGCCATTCGTGTTTTCGCCCTGCGACACCTCTAACAAACATAAGGTTGAACATTCACATGTCACATAATTTTTCATGGTGAGTTAATCTAAACACAGTGAAGATCATTTGGCGACAAACCAGCTCCTTAATGTTGCTTGACTTTGCAATAATTGCCTATAATAAGAATAAAAATGATAATAATACTCTTTATTTAACGAAATAGCTTATAAAGACAATACATCAAAGCATCAAAGAAAACATATAGAATGCAATATGTTATTTTTAACAAATTTAGACTTGTAAAATTTCTTTTTTCTAAAGGCATAGTGTTCTAAAACTCCATACTAGCATAATAAAAAGTTTACTTCAAATAAATTGTTTTACGTCGTTTATGCATGATGTCATTTTCTGTGATGATCTTAGTAAGTAAGTTTTATTCTGAAATAACAGAATAAGATCAGAAACATGCTGGTGTTGATAAGACACAATAATCCTGAAAAATTATTATATCTAAATGGAAAAAAGCATTTCAGATTTTGAAACATTTCAGCCGAATTGGTTTTTACAGTTTTCTTTAAAATAATTCTGGCGGTTCGTTTTGTAATTTCAATTTTCTATTTTGTGTGATTCGTTACATTCGGACCATATTCTAACTTTATTATGAATAATGAAGGAAAAATGTGAAACATACTGGGACTCTTAACATCTATTATAGCAACATCAACATGTAAGAATAATTTAAGAATACCCTAGTTCTGTAAATAACATTGTAAATAACTATTTTTTGTTACATATAGACTTGTTTTGACAAAAATCAGAGAATATACAATAATCAGAAATCAGTAGTTAAAATACGAGTGTATACATAACATGACAACAATTAAACAGGCCGTTTTGATAAAATATTATGAAAATTAGCATTACATTTACACAGTTGTTGTTATCGTTTTTTATCACCGAAAACAAAAATCATTTATCATTTCCTAGCAGAATTAAGGAAGCATATTTATAACCAATTATGGACAAAAATCCACAAAAAGATGATAAAGTCTATACAGCTAAGTCTCTAATGAAATATTTAAATAAAATCTTTAATGTTTTGGTTTATTCTTGAAACAGTTGAAACATAGAATACCTTTGCTATTTAAGGAACATGACTATTGCATGTATTTGGTTTACAGATTTTAATGTTCCACAATAAAATATTATGCTGGTATATTTTTGAAGGGGTTTTGAATGCAGATTTGAACTTGTGAAGCTTTTGTGCTATAGTTTTCATTAAATTGTATCTGGACGAGACCAAAATGTTTACAGTTCACAAACTTGAGTCTGACGTTTTGCTGTAATTTAGCTTGTTTTAGTCTGTAAATTATCCAATAAACACTAATTATTTTGATCATTACTAAGTATTTAGATTATGGCAAAAACCATCTGATTATTTAAAAAAAATATATTTAAGTTAAATGATACAATTGTCATATGAGGAATTTTTGCTAAAATTTAGGGTAAGACAAAGATAAATCAAAAATCCGCCATCTGTGTAAGAGGACATTTAAACGATTATTTTAAATGAACAAAAGTTTATTTTTCTAAAATATGTCCAAAACAAAGCTTTTAAAAAAATGTTGTTAAAATAGCATTTTTCAAATGTACGAATAAATTGTCTCCAAATCTTATATTAGTTTAGTCAGATTATTATAATTCCGGCCCCGTGTTCACAAAGAAATGATCAGGATCAGGATCAGATGATCCTAATTTTATTTTCATTGTTTTATAAAACTAAAATTGATTGCATTATGCTAGAATTAAATGGTACATATTTGAAATATAAAAAAATGCTTATTTGCAAAGAAACCAACATATTTGGGATAAAATCAAGAAATAACAAAACAAATACAAAAATAATCGGATCAAAATGAGGATCAATTTTAGGATCAAGATCAAAATTTGAATCAACTGTAAAATTCCCATATCTTGTAAAAATAACAATATATTTATTGTAAAATTCCATAAACATGCTATTTCAAGTCCAGTTTTATCAAGTTAATACTGAATATTTAATCTATGAGGATAAATAATGGAGAATATTTGAGTTTTTAAATTTGATCCTGATCTTGATCCTGATCTTTAAATCTTTGTGAACACGGGGCCAGATGTTTTTAATTATTTTTTAAACCTATATTATAAAATATTAACAAAATGCCTCTTTTATAAATTACGTAAATAAAAAATGAATATTACTTAACTATTACAAAATGACTAAATGATTACAACCATAAGTACATTTTTTAAAAAGCAATTTGATGATGAAAAATGTAAATACAATTGAACATAAAATATAAAAAATAAACAATTAAGATATATCAATGATCACACGTGTCTCCTCATGATAGCCAGTTGCATGATACAGCAACTGTGAAACAACAAAAATCATTAACAGGGCAAAAGGTATTTTTAATTCAAGGGCCAGAACTCAAAAATAATTCAACTGGACATCCCATGTAATATGCGCAAGTACTTGAGCTACCGATTAATCATGTAAAGTTAAAATGAAGTTGCATTAGTGGTATAAGAGGAGTAGTCGGGACAAATTATAAAGGTAAAAATGGTTTAAGGGTCATAACTGTGACAAATATCATTGAACCAAAAATGCCGATTATATGCACAAGTAGGCTTGGTATTGATCATTCCTGTAAAGTTTGGATGAAATTGCACTAGGATTTACAGATGAGTAGTCCAGATAAGCTTATGTGTAGCTGGCAACACAGAAAAAATCTTTTTTTTTTCAATTCAAGGGCCATAACTTGGCCAAAACTATATGCGCAACTACTTGAGCTATAGATCAAATCCTGTAAAGTTTTATTGAAATTGCATAAGTGGTATAAAAGGAGTATCCAAACAAATTTCACTTAAAATCATAAAAGGCCCATAACTTTTAGAAAAATCATTAAACACGAAAAGGCCGACATTATGGACAACTAAACTTGGTACTGATCTTTCCCTTAAAATTTGGATGATTGCACCAGTAGTTTCTGAGTAGAAGTCCGGACAAATTTCTGTTTAGCTGGCACCACACAAACAAGCACAAACACATTTTAATTCAAGGGCCATTTCTCAGCCCAAAATCATTCAACCGGAAATCCCGTGTAATTTGCACAAGAATTTAAGCTATTGATCAATCCGGTAAAGTTTCAATGAAATTGCATTTGTGGTATAAGAGTAGTCCGGACAAACTTTTACAATAAAAATCATAAAAATGCCATAACTCTGACAAAAACCATTGAACAAGAAAATGCAGGCAATATAAACAACTAGACTTGGTACTAATTACTCCTGTAAAGTTTGGATCAAATTGCGCCAGTAGTTTTTGAAGAGTAATCCAGACAAGTTTTATGACGGACGTACATACGAAATTGTACTTATGTGATTTTTTCTTTGATCTTTTTAGTCACACAAGACCTAAAATAGACATACAAATAAGAACGGAATGAATTGGATCAAAGGAAATGTACCATTACCTATGGCTCCTAATCACACAAGTAGTACATAATTATGTGTTTGTACGGATAGACAGAAGGACAGACAGAAGAAAAATTAAATATAATCCATGTACATATTTACAGTGATATATATAGATATGCAAATAACAATATACATGTAGTTCAAAGTAACTATGTTTGAAAACAAATTAAATTGGTTACTAATAAAAGAAGAAAGTCACATACCAGGAATTATCCACTTAACACTTATTTAAAGTTAGAACAGTATTTTGATGAAGTAAGAAGTCACCTAAACCTTAGAACAGGTATCTTGACTTTCATTAGCCACATACTTCTACGGTGACAGATTGAACTGAAAAAGAGAACCTATGGATACTCCAGGAAATTACCTAAACTATTTTCTGTTTGAAATTATGAAAAAATAATTGAAAGCTTTTGTTTATACCAACAGCTAAAATAGTTTTAGCTTGGTCTGATTGACAGCTACTTAACACACATATAAAATGCTAAAAATAACTTTTTAAGACATGTTTTTGTAAGTAATTAGGTTTTGGCATCTTGAATATATAAAAGCTTTATTTCAATGGCAATCTGTCTTAACACCAATATTTTAATTCCAAGTATGTGATTCTAATATGAAAAGTTTGAAAGTAAAAGCTTACCGGTAAAAAGATAATGTAATATAAAAACATAAAACTTTTTAAGAATATTTTAATATAATATTTGTAAATACAAATGCCTAAAAATTCCCTCTATAAATTAATATGCAAGTATGAAGCATAACAGCTTTTACAATTTAGCAATGATTCTGTGCAGCATGCGTAGTTAGGTATTTTAGAAGTATTTTTTTTTACAAAATCCAAGAATTAATTTTTCAGCACATATTTACTTTATTTTATACTTAAAAATAAAATTTTGAGAAATATTGATGAATTAAAATGCATATTTTCATTTTCCGTATTTTCACTGTAACAAAAATATTTTTCACTGCAGTACAACATATTTTCTGTATTTTCACTGGTGTCTTGTCGGACTATTTTCATCTAAATTAAGCCAATGCACAAAATTGAAAAGGAAATTTCTCAAATTGTACTGTCAAAAAAAAAGAACAGTAAAATGTATATAATAAACCGAAAATTGAAGTTTTTTTTCACTGGAGTGAAACATATTTTCGAATTTTCAATGGTGTCTTGCCGGACTTCTTAAATTTAAATTAAGCCAATGCCCAAAATTGAAAGGAAAATCTTCCAAATTGTACTGTCGAAAAGAAAGAAAAGAAAAATGTATCTAATAAACAGAAAATTCAAGTTTTTTCTATTAATACAGGATTTATTTTCATCACGTGGTATGGAAATTATCATATTTCATATTACTTTTATACCACTCGATGAAAATAAATCCTATTTTTATAGAAAAAGCTTCAATTTCCTCAATTTATTCACTTTGAGCAAACCATGGTTAGTAAAAACTCATTTTTATTGGTTTATAAAATATTTTACAAATTGCCATACAAATAAGTTTTTTGGAACATCTATCACTTTCAGATTTAAAGCTTTGAGACAAATACTAATTTTTCTTGAATAAAATAAGAATGGATACTGATGATTTCACTCAGTGTGTATGGCTTCATGAGTAGTAACAAAACTCCTATAATACATTGGTATAAGTCTTATGACAATTTATAAATGTATAACAAGTTTAGTTTCTTTTTGTAGAAACGGTCAGTCCACTTTGGTTGTTTTCAGCCCCTTAAATGCAAACTTTACAGGATTACATGATTTTTCACCTTTCATATAAGACAATGGTATAAATTTTATGACAGTTTATAAATGTAGAGAAAGTTGTCTTTTTTTTCATCTGAGTTGTAACAACTGTAATACAGCTTCTTTGTTTCACCACACCAACTAAGAGTAACGGTTGTATTCAGATCCTGCAGCACCACCTTTCCTGTAGAACAGTCTCCTGATATCTCTTCTATAACATTTCTCGCCCAGTTACACACAAAGACAGTACCATCATCTGAGAGTGACATTCCCCTAGGAGCACTCATACCATTATAATTACCTATCACTTCACCTTTCCAGTTTAATCTTGATACTGTGTTCATGTCCCAGTCAGATACATAGATTGAACTTCTGTTAGATGTGACATAATATGGATCTTTGAAAATATTTCTTCCATCAATTGTTGTCAGTATAGTTCCATTCATATCAAGGATCTGAAGTTTTGCAGGAGAACGTAATGACACAACAAGTTTACCTTGATAACAGCTTATACCACAACAATCTCCATCAACCGTCATAGTGTGCTTCTTTATGAGTTTGTTTGATGAGATTGATATAAATTGTATTGTTTGTTTGTAAGGAAGTGTGACTGCAAGTTCAGCATTGATAACTCTCGTGATATCCCATGGTTTATCACCTAGTTGTAGTTGATTAGACACAGATTTACTGCTGGTATCCACCATCTTTACAGCATTGTTATTGTGGTCATTGATGATAAGAAGATCAGGGGTCAGCAGAGTCATTCCTGTTATCCAGCATCTAAATTCATCTTTTGATGTCTTCAAACAAATTTCTCCCTCATGTGAAGATTGTCTAGACTTTATTTGTACAGAATGACATTCTTTATTTAAAGTTTTCTGTGTCAATGTACCCAGTGACTTCTCTGTTTTAAGCTTGGTTAATATTGTTTCATTTGCGTCAAAGTGGTGCTCTTTGACATCATATGTTGAAAGCTGTTGTTCAGTTTTCTCAACATCTTCCATTATTTTTTCTGCAAGCTTAAGTTCCATAAAGAGTGTATTAGCTTGTTTTGATGTGTTCAGCAGTTTGATTTTTTCTGAGGATATCCTTAAAGATTTGGTAACTTCTTCACAAAATGTTTCTACTGCTGTGATATTTGAGTTATTTTCTTGTTCTACGACCTTGACTACATGCATAACTTGTCTCTCTAGTTCATCAAATCTCAGGTTTATTTCTTCCCGAAACATTTTAATATCTTCTAGTGCGTCTTTTAGCGATCTGTTCGATTTCCCCATCATTTCCTTGGCATCTGCTACCATCTGTTGATAATGATCAAAAGTCGTATTTAGTGCTTTGAAGATAATTTGATACTCTTTACTGTCTATTATATTACCAGAAATATCAGGTATGTAATCAACTTTGCAGGAAGTTGGTTGGTGTTCAAGGGTAACACAAACACTGCAAAGTAAATTTTTATGGTCATTGCAATAGTACTTGATCATTTCTTGTGAATGTTTACAACAGGGTGTTGTAAGATCATCAGACAGGCCTGTGTGAATGGGTGTTGTGGGTTGCTGCAAAACTTTTGGCATACTTGTTGCATCCAGAAGTTTATGATGCTTGGAAAGCCTATTTTTCTTATGGGCTGTAAAACATGTTTTGCAAAGGTGTTCTTTGCAGTCAGTGCAGTAACCATGGGCAGGGAGTCCAGTTCCTTCCTCATCACAAGGCTGGCAGTAAACTTGATGATCTTCATCTGATGCCATGGATGATGCAAATTGTTTTGATGCTTTCTTTCCTGGGACTGCCATGTTTTACCTAAAATTTAGCATTTTTGTACAATTGTCTAACTGTTTCTTTTAACCAGAACATGTCACTTTGATATTACAAAACATGAGGGCTATAATGGCCCTAAAATCGCTCACCTGTATATAAAAGCTCTCCATGACAAGGAACAAGTAATATTTTAAACTATAAACAAAAGCAGATATAAAAGCTAATCTTAAACTGATATCACAAAGTTAATATTTGTTTCTAAGATAGTGCATGTGTAAAAACATTAGTTTTTAAAATATACATAAAAAAGAAAATCAATGACCCCCGTGGCGGGGCCAATTTTGACCTCAATGCTTTTATTTAAACAAACTTGGCAAACTTGGTAGACAAGAAATAAAAATGTTTCATGCTAAATATATAAGCTCTAGCTCTTTGAGTTTTTTAAAAGAAGATTTTTTTATGATTTGTCTATACACCATGTACACATCTAAGGAAAATCAATGACCTCTCCCCCAACTGGGCCAATTTTAACCCCAGGGCTTTTATTTGAACAAAGTTGGTAAAAATCAATTAGAAGATGTTTCATGCTAAACAAATAAGCTCTAGCTCTTTGGATTTTTAAAAGGAGATTTTTAAAAGTTTTGACTATATACATATAGGGAAAACAATGACTCCCGGGTGGGACCAATTATAGCCCCAGGACCTTTATTTGCAGAAACTTAGTAGACACATATTAGAAGATGTTTCATGCTAAATATCTAAGCTCTAGCTCTTTGTTTTTTTTTAAAGAGGATTTTTTAAGGTTTTATTTATACATATTTGGAAAAACAATGACCCCCTGGGGCGGAGCCAATTTTAACCCGAGGACTTTTATTTTTATAAACTTGGTAAACACATACTAGAAGATGTTTAATGCAAAATATCTAAGCTCTAGCTCTTTAGATTTTTAAAAGAAGAATTTTTAAGGTTTTTTCCTTTCGTTGCCATGGCAACCAGAGTTCTGTATGGAATTAAATTCTTTGAAAAAATTTTAAAGGTGAACACTAAAGAAATATTCATGTGAAGATTGGATGAAATTGGCTCAGCGGTTTATGAGAAGATGTCGTTTAAAGTAAAAGTTTACGGACGCCGGACGAAAAGCCATCACAAACAGCAAGGGATTTAACTCAATACAGGATTGGAGCAGTACCTCTAGATGCTTGCAGAAATCATGATGACGAAAATAGATTAATATCGTTTTTTTTTTCGCCGATTTTTACATTTTTTATTCATTATCATACTTAAATCGGTGTGAAAAGATGAATTAGATCTTTGAATGCTCATTCCGTTGGATAAGAAGGCACGATTTTATCATTTTATCATTCAAGCGCATTGTCCGGTATATACCGGAATACGGTATTTAATGTCGTGCTTCAATCCTTTTTATAGTCTCACTCAACAGCAAGAGACAGATTGGAAATGTAAACAGTTGCAAGCCTGTAATATTTTTAACTGAGTTGGGTTATAAATCACCTCAGCACTGTTAAAGCAGCACGCCTTCAGATTCATGCTAATTTTCGTCGAAATTTGAAAATGCATTTAAGTGTATAATATTTTAAAGTTACCAAAAGAATGCAATTTACACATTATCAATGCCACTTTAAACCTATGTAAATCACTATAAAGAGGTCAAAATTTGCAAAAATAGCCCTTACTGCGTAAATAAGCAGTAGAAATATAGTTATAAAAACTGTAAAACTCGGTCTTTAATCACACATAACATGTAAATTATTACTAGAATTTTTAATCTTTATACCTTTCCTAAAATCTTAGTACATTTTTCTTAGGTTTGACTTTTCCGAAATTTTTTTTGCTCATCTGTAGGCGTGCAGCTTTAATGTCATATAATAAACTTCTAGCTTAACTAGTGAAGAAAAACATTAATAGTCCCTCTATGCAGTATTTCAGACATGACTTGAGTTGGCAAGACAAGAGTAAAACAACCAATCATATATTCTACTCTACTTACAAATGGATTAGTTATTTACATCGAGAATTCGACTTTTTCTCTAGAGAGAAATACAAATTGGTCCTTTAAAAATACATATATTTGTTATGTACTAAAGTCAGGTTTAGATCACAAATGAATATTATTATCGTAGCTTAGAGTATCGAAAAGCAAGTTATTTTAACAAAAAAAATAGACTTAATTTCTTCAAATTCAATGACAATTGTTATGTATTGTTGTCTTAAGGTGATGGTGAAGTGAGGTGATGGTCGTATTGATACAGTGGGTTGTTTAAAAAAACATAGCAGAAATTCTAGCTGGAAAAGGGGATATTATTTTCTCAAAGCCAGATAGATTTCTCTCTTTTTGCCACTTTATGGGTGAAAAGCTGGGGAATGGGTGGGGGAAGGTGTGGCATTGATCATGCTCATCACCATATAGTTAAAAGGAATATAAGCTTTAAAAACTAACCACATGTGTGACTCCAAAATCCAGGTGAGAAACATTACTCTCTACAAGTAACAAAATTTAATATAAATATAAAAATAAAGTCAAGTACTTGTTTATAAATCAGTTGATAGCAGCCATTCCATTATTATCATATAATATTAGCCTTTAGTGCTTCCTTAGATTTAGTAAGTTGCAATTTGTACTGTCCAAACTTGCTCACATTACTTTACAGAGGCAAAACCTAAGTTAACAAAACAAACAAAAACCAAAGCAATTTATGTGTTTTAAGTCTGCTTATTTTAGCTTTAAAATGAATTGTTAAAAATACCGTACCCGAATAAACTTACTTAAAATGGTTTCACTTATTAAAAATTGTCTTCCCCTATGTAACAAGGGCTGTAAATATTTTGTTGTTGCTAAGTCTTCCTTGCCCAAGATTCATGGAATTTAATAAATATAATTACAATTTCATTGTTTTGTAACATTGATTTATGACGACCTTTAACCTTCTATCATGCTACCAGTGCAGACCAAGATCAGCAAGTTGATTCGTGCTACCTGCTCATGTTCTGTACTGTTCACTATTTAGTCATTCCTTAATTTGAAAATTTCCTTAAAAAATGATGAATGTTTATGTTTAAATTAAAAGATGGACAAATCCATTAAAAATATTCAGTGGTGTAAGTGTAAATACTGGTAATTTTAGTTTAAAGATTTTTAAGTGTTATTGATATAACTTATCTTTTATTGACTAACTAAAAAGTATGTATCAAATAGGAATTTCATAAGCTTTGGTCAAGTTCTACTTCAAATCCAACAGTAAAAGATTAAGATACATTTATCTAATGAGTGTTTGCATTTGAAATCGCCCATACTGTTTAATTCTGAAGGGTACACACATGAAAATTGAATCTCAATGGCATTCATTCTTAAAGTCATGAAAAATGTTTTACACCTGTGAAAGGTAACATTTGGTGATAATACACTATATGAAAGGCTTGATACAAATTGTTTTACGTTTATTTTATAAAATATATACATATATATATATATTTACATTTAAAATTGCTTATTTTTCAAGAAAACAAAAAATAGATAACTTACCTAATATTAAGTTAATTCAGACATTTAGCAACTAGGATTCATGTTCTACTTTTTAAAGTTTACTTCTATCTGTTTAATTCTATATCAACTGTCTTTCTTACGGAATATTGATTTTTATATACAAGGTAAAAATAGATTTTTAAGGGGTTCAAATGTCTAAATTGTATTTTGCACAATTCTTATCGCTCATATTATTTCAGCTGTTGGCAATAACTTTTTACCCGCATTAGGAGTATGGTTTTAAGATCTAAATACACACAGATGGTATAGAGACAATTTCGTAGATGAAGTTATGAGGTTTTATGTTGATTTATGATATTGACATTAAGATAAACTAAAAGTTGCGCTGAGGCATGAAAAAAATACAACAGACACTAGACAATAACCTATTTTCTTTTACATTTTGCAAAAGAAAACCATGTGTTTATAGCATTTCACCTTTTCTGTATACTATCTTTTTATTTATGAGGTTTCAAGTTTCCATTACTATTTTTAATCATATGCATGACAAAATATGAAAATTTCAAATATAAATAACACGATGAAACCTATCCACCTATCAAGCTAGTTTCAAGGTCATAATTAGCTAGGTCGTGACAAAAAAGAAACAAATCGCAGAGGGCAATAATTAGAAAGTTTTGACGAAAGAGTAAAGATATGAAAAACAAGATCAACAAGGATAGGTACCGTGACATTCAATGAACGAATCTCAACACAGGACAACAGGCAAAGAGCCCAGTAGCACACAAAAATAACATCTGGTTATACTTTTATGTATGACAGATGTTTTGATATAATTTGGTAAGAAAAAAAGGTATCACTCGCTGGTTTGATCTATCTTGAAAAATTCACAAACAAGTAAGTTGATTTATGTGTGGAAATCAATGTATTTTGTTATATTAAAGATACCGTTAATAAGTTGATTTTTTGTTTGTTTTTGCTTGAAGCTGTGATAAAAAGAGAAAAGTATTACACCATCATGAAGAATTGATTTGACATGGTAAGGCATCATTTAAATTTTGCTTGGTTATGTTTTCCGTATGAAAATGTTGAACTGAAGAAAACTATTTAGGTAGAAATGTGCATATTAACAATGTTGTAATTTGCCTCCTAAAATTTGTAAGATAAGTGCAGAAGAAATTATGTGGCATTGGTATAAAACTACATGTACATGTATTTAATGAACTGCTGGATATTCTTAATGTGACCAAATTCTCTCTGTTTTTTTCATGTACGATAACACATTTTTGTTGAAGTAAGATATTTTGATATGTGAAAATATGGGATATCGGTTCAAAGTATTTCAGTTCAAGAGGGCTAACAAACTGTGAATATCATGATTTGTGGTTCTAGATAATGAACACATTTTTGCCTAAAAGTGACTGAACAACTTCAAAATATTGATTAAAAGGTAAAAGGTTTAAGCTGTAATATGGCACTTTGTGATTATTATTCATAGTATAAATTTAAATAGATATAATAAATAA